GTAAAATGTTTTTGCATTTTCTCTGAACTAGTCTTGCATTCAGCTTACACCTCCATTGTTCACACTGAGTTTTTCTTGACTGCCTATTATGCTTTTATGAATTGGTTTGGATTAATTTTGTTGACTTGCTTAATTGAGACAGCGGTTTTTGTTTCTTTTATATACTTCTGCTTGTGCTTGGTATTGATGAGAAAAAATTATGTTGATGCTCTTTGATATTGTTCTTGAGATAGGGAAAGAATGGTTGTGCATAAAGAGTCACATTCACATTACCCGCAAGGAAACTAAGTTCCCGTCTACTTTTAATTCCAATAAGAATCTATGTTAGTTTTAAATTTGTGATATTTTCTAACTGATTTTTTTTCTCATTTTTATTGCTAATTACTGCTAGCTTTGATCTAAAAATAAAAATATTAGTTAATATAATTAAGATACAAAAATATATTTCAAAGTAAAATAATTACAAAATTTAAATATATATAATTATTGTTTCTATTTTTTGGTTTAATAATTTACTTTTAGTATTATAGTTTATTAAAAATAATTATATTTCACTTAGAGCTTATAAATTATTTTTTATATATTAATTTTGATATTATTTATAATTCAATTAAGTAAAGTAATATTTTCATAAAAAAAATTACAATTAATTTTCATTTGCAATATATTGTGAACAATATTTTTCTATAAAATAATAATTACTTTTTTATTTAAAAGTTACTTAAATAAAAGTGTTTCATCTATAACTATAATTACAATTTGATTTTTTTATATTACATGTAATTTTACTATATAATGACTAGTAATTTTACAAATATGTATAAAAATATGTATTATATTATGTGATTCTTTTTGTTTGAGATAAAATCTTATATATGATGTATACCGTATATACAATCAGTCAACAAATTATCAAAGTGAATGGTTGATTTACTTTCTAGAACCTTCAAAATAACGTAATTGATCACGCCAAGATACAGGTGATTGCATTTAATGCTTAACCTTTACAGTGACATGAGAAAGGGTGAAGAAGTAGTTCTCCACCTGTAATCCGAAACATGATGTACTAAAAAAATAAATGATTTTACAATTATTTATAATTGAAATTAATATATAGGAAGTAAATTATAATGAATTTTAATTAAAAAGCGTAAATATTAAATAAGAAATAATGTACACAAATTATATTATAATTAAAAATATATAATAAATAAATATTTTTGAAATATAATTTATGAGAGAAAATTTTTTAGATATTAAAATATAATTTAGCAAAACAAAAATACATATTAAAATGTATTAGAAGTTAATAAATATATAAAGAATATATTCTAGTTGGAAAAAAAATTCTAATATACTTTCCTTAAAGAATAATTCTCAAAGACATTTTTTTATTCAAGCTAATTATTTTAATTTATATAGAAAGTACATGGAACGAGTTATACTATGGACAGATAAACTACATACTCAATTATTAATATATATCCAAAGATGGAGGGTCAGTAAAAAGGAAAATTTAATAAAAATATTTAACCTATTTTTCTGTTGTGAATTCCTACAAAATATTCTTAAACATCACTTAGTTATAGAGAAAAAACTTCAGCCTAGTTCATACTTTATATATTTTCAAACATAAAATCATAAACACCTTTTACGTAAAATCTCTAAAATTGTGGGATCCATCTACAATTTTTTGTGCCCTATTTTTTATTTTTAATTAATTAGGTTATCCATTATCAATAATTTCATATATTATATTTATACATATACCCCACCATTTTTGTTTTTCATGTTTATCGTTCAACTTTACAATGAAATGACCACTTCCTTCATCCTGAAATGTCTAAACTCATCTTTTTGTTGTCTTTGTTAAACTTTTTCTTCTTAATAAAAATCATAATAAACTTTTCATTAGACACAATCCTGTTCTATTCTTCTTTTGGATGAAAGATTTAATCTTTTCCGAATGAATGATGTAAGATTGAATTCAGATTTTTTTAATAAATATTACGGTAGTTTAATTTTAGTTTCATAGGTCTTAGTTGAATCCTTTGAATATCTACATACATATGTATAATTTAATGGCTTAATTAACTTATAAATTTATTTATATATTTACTTAAGTTTTTATTAATTTTTTTTTGTTTATTACATACTTAAAAATATTTGTTTATTTATTTTCGTAGAAGTGTTACATACTTTGATTTTAGTGTAATACTATATCAATTAATTAGCATCTTTCTCTTTAATTTTATTGATCAATAATTGAAGAAGAAATAAACAAGTTAATAAAGTGAATTAAAAACGAGAAAAACAAAATAATGGCTCACAAAAATCAAATAAAATGATATAATTATAATTTTAAATAAAAAGTAAATTAAACAAAATATTTTTTTTAAAATCATTCAACATAAAATATAATTAAATTTAAGTGAGTATAAAATTTTCATTAAATAAAGATTAAAAAGTTAACTATTACATTTCATAAATTCATTGCGTTATGTTATATTAGAAAGATGATTTTAATTTCACTTATATTTCATTAATTAAACACAATATTATAATATAAATAATACTTTAAGACATCTTGTAATTTTATAATTTTATTGTTTTTCTTATTTAAGGCTTGCATGATAAAATTTGAATTAATGTCACAACTCAAATGTTATTTTTTTATCAAATATTTTTAACCTAATTTGTTTTGTTGTCAGTTTCTGTGCAATTTTTTTAATTTTTCTGATTTGATTTAGTTTTTCAATTAAATTTGTCCAAGATGATGCAAGAGGTTTCATAAATAAGGTGAAGGTTCTTTTAATAATCTTTCTTTAATATTTTCCATAGAAATTGACTCTTATAACTTTATTTTTTATCTCCTCACTTTTTGTTATCATTGTTTCCAGCTTCTGTGGTTTTTAATTTAATATCAACCATGACTTCGAATTTTTTTTTTTCTGAATTCAAGTTTGGTAGTTTTCAATTCATTATTTTTTTATGTCCCTTTCTTTTCTTTTTTACATTGTTACAAGATGACTATTCAAATTTACAATTGTTATATGTGAGTGACATTTATTTTTTCTTTTCTCTTCAATTTTAAATCCTTTCATTTTATTATAAGAGATAATTTTAGAGTGATACTTTTACATTCATTTGATACACAGTATAAAGATAAAATGATCATAAAAAATAAATTTTTGTATTTTTCAAGAAAGAAGAAAATAAAAAATAAGAAATGATGGTGTTAAATGAATGTAAAAGAATTATGGGTGTCAAAGTATTATTTCTCTATCATAAGGTTGGATGAATTCTAAAAAATCAATAAATCACATTTTTTCATCATTTTTGTCTTTGTCTTTGAATGAGTATTTTTAATATTTTAGTTTGTATTTTTGTCTTCAGCTTTAACTGAATGATAAGAATATTTGTAAAGGCATTCTAACGTTCAAGTAAATATTGTATTAATAGTTTATTCCTATAAAGATAATCTAGTTCAAAGAAAAACTTAATCCTTTTATCTGTGATATTTATCCATTTATAATACTTTTATTAGAATTTTATCTTTCATATGATTAAGAAGATCTAATTATAGTTTAATCATGATTTAATTTTTGTTTTGAATCCTATTTAGTTATCCAAAATATTGGTTGTAATGTTAGAATCTTTAAACTTTGTTGTTTTAAAAAACTCTATATGCCACTCGTGAAATATTGTGTGTATATATATATATATATATATATATACCGATTTTATATATTATATCTGATTAATTAGATAGTTACACTATTATCCCATCCAAGATTGTTTTAAGTTAATGTTATTACAAATTTAATTTTTTTATTAATGTTAATTAAAGTTAATTTTAGCTAACAAGTTCAAAGTTATTTATAAACCAATTTTAATATGAACTTTTGTCTAATGTCAGTAGGTCTATTTTTATTTTATAAATATAAGTTGAGATTATTTATAAGGTTTTCAACTATAATACAAAATAACCTAGTTTTTTAGTTGATACCAACCAGATTTTTTTAATTCTATTAGATTTTTTTTCCGACGTCAACAAATATTATTTTTTTTATAACATTATCTATGTTAATTATATTTAAAGTGGGTCAAAATCGTAGTCAATTTTATTCAAGAGAACTTTTTAGTCATTGATCGAAACACGTGCATACCAAAATAGTTTGATTCATAATGTTGAAAAAAAATAATTGTGACTGATGTTACCCGAAATGTAAAGAAAATTTCCTTACATGATAACTAATATTTTTTTTAATGAACTTTAATTGATAAATAACTTTGACCAAAATTAATTGAAAATATTAATTTAAATTATTAAATATTATTTAATATTAGAGTAAATTCTGTATTTGATAATACTGAAAATATTTTATCCAAACGAAAAGTTAAAGTTGAATTTGAATATTATCTTTTTTACCAAAAACATTTGAAAAATAAATGCATTTGAATAGAAAACAATTCAAATTTAATGTATTTTAATTTTTGAGATTGTTTTAAATTCAATATATTTAGTTTTTTTAAACTTACGAAGTTCTGTATCCTAACAAAAAAAAAGTTAAAGGTATTTTAATAGATCTCTTAGACTTGAAGAAAAAAACTTTTTATTATGCCTTTATCAGTGTATTCAGTTGGCTTTACAGAACAGTAAAATAAAATGAATAATTATATTTCCTATAAACCCCTGAAAGTTTGGTTGTAGATTTTATCTTGGACCGTATTTTTATTTATTATAGGCATTTTTAGTTGAAACAATCTTCTTCGAGGTACTATTTGGAAATTTAATATAGACAGAAAGTAAGATAAAACTTTAATATATAAATAATTGAAAGCTTTATCTATAATATTTATTTTGTAATATTTAAATAAATTTAATTTCATCTTCGATTTCTGCAAAGTTTCAATCTGAGCTTACATTAAAATCCTTTAGACAAAATATACAAGGTTCATGTGCAATACATGTTAGTTACAGTTAACATAACATGTTCAAAGATTATACATATTATATTAGATTTTAATAGCAAATGACAAGTGTACAACCACCAACTACTATTAACAAACAAACCAACCCTTAGCTAAACTTTCTTAGACACACATGATTAAGGCAACACTAACTGAACCAATGAAACAAAGCAGAGAGAAAAAAACACTACCAGTAGATTTTATCACTGCCTTGGAGATGACCTTGTCTTCTGCAAAATTTTCGTTAGTCATAGTCAGAATCATCAAACAATTACCTCACAACTCAAAACAAAGGGAAATGAAAAAAAAAATAGAAAACAGGCAAAAGATGGACACAATTTTATAAAATTTTCTTTTAGGCTTTGTTTACTTGAATGAATTTTGAGAGAGTGATTGAATGAATTTGAGAGAATTTGAAAGTAAATTTTGTTGTTGTTTATTTGATGAATTTGGAGGTAACTGAGAGTGAATTTGGAAGTAAAGTTTATGAGAATTAGTGTATGATTTGATTGATATGACAGATTAAAAAAAATTTACTTCCAAATTCACCCCACTTCCAAATCCACTCAAATAAACAACAAAAAAATTATCTCCAAATTCTCTCAAATCCATTCAATCACTCTCTCCCAAATCCATTCAAGTGAACAAAGTATTAGTATTGCCTTCAATCAAAGCTAAAATTTTAGATCATTCATCCATAGGTTTAAAACATTCTCTATTATGATAGAACACCTCATTTCCTTCATTCTAGGGTTGGAACACTCTTTACGAAGTTATAAAACACCTCGCATCCCTCATCCATGGGGTTAGAACACCCTCTACTAGGTTAAAACACCTAAAAAACATATTTTAAATATAATTTAATTCTATAAAATCAGTTTATAAATAAAAATTTACATCTATGTAATGTAAATTGATTTTATCTTTTATATATATATATATATATAAAAGACTTTTAACATAACTTTTCATATGGAGATATATACGTCTCAAAGAGACTGATATTAAGATGTAAATTTTTATTACATAAGATAAAACTCTTACTACTTATATTCAAAGAAAATATGTGTGCATGTGTAATGACCAAGTTAATTACTTACTGCACTCTTTAGGGTGACATAAACAATTCAAACCAGCACCACAGCTTCCATTAGGCTTTTCACACCCTTGACAAATTTCTGGTACACGAGGAATGTCAACAGATATCCTTGTTCCAACCTTAAATCCCTGATCATGTCCACCGTCTGATGTTCTTCTATGCACCCAGCTAAAATGAGAGCAGTTCAGAAGCAGAGGATGAAAATCCTTGTCAAATTTTCTCAGATCTTCAACAACTAAACATGGATGAAGGTAGTTCTTGTTCTCTTCAGCACCTCCACAAGTGTACAAGTTTCTACAATTTTGCATGGTTGGTAAAATGGGGTGTCTTCTGCTTGAGCAATTGAAGAGAACAAGCGAGTTAGGCTCAGGAGGAGAAGGGAAACCAGCAGTGACAGCCGTAGGAGAAACATATTGCAGAGAAGAACAAGAAGAGTGAGTGATGGTTAGAAATCTACCATTGTTGTCTAGTGAAGAGACATGAAAAAGGCCAAGGGATGTTCTGAAATAGAGATTCTGAGATATGCACAAAACGATGTTGTCTAATATAGAAGAATTTGGATTCAAGAAAAAAGGTGTTTGTTTTCTGATATTTTGACAGTAGTTTGCATCGTTTTCTATAGAAGAACCTAATAACATGATATTGAATAAGAGTAAAGAATGAAGAATTTGTGGTTTCTTGAATGGCTTCATGTTCATCCCTTTTGTGAATGGATGCAAAGAATGTTCACTAAGTTATTTTAATATTTGTATAGGTTTGTTTGTGATGATAGAAGATGAGAAAGCATGGTGTTAATAACTCTAGAAAACACTTTTCCCAAATCTCTTTCTAAGTTGGCCCCATGGATGCTTAGTGACATTCTTTTTCCTTCTTTTCTTTTCCTTAGTCACTAGAAAAAGGTCACATTGCTTTGAGAGGGAATCTTAGGCTTCAAATTTCAAAATCTTTTTTTTTTCAATTCACTACTTTAATTTTTAACTCTTTTTTATGATTTTTCTGACTATTATCTATTTCAAATTACTAACCTTTTTTTTATTGTTCAACAAATTCGGTAGTTTTAATATTACTTTATAGTTGGTAATAGTCTTAAGTTATCTTTATATCGGGCTAACTGTTATTTTATTTTATTCTTCAAATGTTTAAAATCCAACAAATTGTACAAGCAGGTCAACTTGCAGACGTGCAAAACAAAGAGTGCAGAACAAATCGAGTATTTTAGTTTGCTTATCCACTTAGGTGTGTTTCAAAGATGGGTTTACTTCCACCGGTCACATTGACTTAAATTTATAAAATCCAACGATACCAACACAATTGACTTAAATTTATAAAATCCAACAACACCAGTATAAAATGTTGTGTGTGTTTCTTTAATCAATTTGCTCATTCGAGTTTAATCTATCAAAAAGTAATTTTCTAATTTGCTTTTATTTTCTTATTCAATCTAATTCAAGTCATTTCTATTTTCAACAAACTTATA